AGAATAGAATAGAATAGAACCCAATGGAACTGGAACAGAACAGGAGTAGAACAAGAACAGAACAGAAGAGAGAACAGAACCAAGACTGGGTATCTTTGCTGTGTGATTTCCGCCTTGACCCTTGCCAAACTCACCCATCCAATCGCCTTCATCCCAACCATCAGGCCTGCAAAGCTCAGCTGTGAAACCAAACTGATTAAGCCAACTAATCAGCTAGATCCATGATGGGTAAGATGAATCAATTAGAAAAAAACAGACCAATCCAATTAACCTTGACGGAGCTGACATCGGACTATAATTGCTTAAATGCTGTGAAATATCAGCAAGAGACAAAAAGGAAGGAGCTCCCGGCCAGAGGTTGTAGGGACGGTAGAATAATTAAGACCCCTGAAGCATCCCCAGGTGGGTCAGGTGATCAACATTCGGGCAGTTGGCAACTGGCATGTACTTAGTGACAGTTGCTCTGTCCCAGGCTCCCGCGATCACCATTTGCAACGATCCCAGCTGGCTTCCCACAAGGAAAGTCAACGGGGGAAGCCAGATTTGCTTAATGACTATTGCACAATTCACCGAACAACTATAAGGGTTTGCCTTCACAATTGGGGCAGAAAAATTGGTATAATGCAAAACTCACTTAACTGTGAGCCGTGGTGGTGCAGTGGTTAGAATGCAGTATTGCAGGTTAACTCTGCCCATTGCCAGAAAGTTTGATCCTGACCAACTCAAGGCTGACTCAACTTTCTGTCCTTCCCAGGTCGGTAAAATGAAGACCCAGATTGTTGAGGGAGGGGGAAATATGCTGACTCTGTAAACTGCTTAGAGAGGGGTGTAAGGCACTGTGAAGCAGTATATAAGTCTGTTATTGCTAGGGAGGGAAGGAGGGAGGGAGGGAAGGAAGGAAGAAAGGAAGGAAGGAAGGAAGGAAGGAAGGAAGGAAGGAAGGAAGGAAGGAAGAAAGAAAGAAAGAAAGAAAGAAAGAAAGAAAGAAAGAAAGAAAGAAAGAAAGAA